AATATTCGGTTGACCTTTAAATGACTGTAACGGTCGTTATAATGGTTATGGTCAAGGTCACCATCATTTTCCTCTCGAAACCCTACAACTTTTGTTCAGAACTTTTTTCTATTCAGAATGTTTAGGAGGGGAGATTAAAATGGAACACCTTGTATATTTGAGTGCCAGAAAAAAATTTAGAATTATTCATTTGTAACTTCAGCTTCGGTAAAACAGTATTTACTGTGTAAGTTGGATGTGTGGATCATGAATCTGTCAGTCTTTAGCTGAGATTGACGAAGAGCCCAAAAAGTCCATTTTTTCTGCTCAAAATAGGACTTCTCGGCACATTAAAATATTTTCATAACTGTAATTTTTTCATTCACTTATAAAATGGGTGGCTAAAATCAGGAATATTCTTTTTACTAGTTGGTTCAATGGCGAGATACGTGTCTTAAAAAGAGGCGTTTTGTCGTTTATTTTGACATTTCATAGGTTTTTTGTGACATAATGTAGGTTTTTCTATAAGATGTTAACTTAGCATAAGCTGTTGTACACTTGTGAATTCGTTTTGTAGCTGCACGTGTTGCTAAGCGAGCAGTGATCAAAGCGATCAAACGTGGAATGAACTATTTGCAGATTAAAAATTACCTAGTCTGCAAGATGACATTTCGTAGTTTTTTTTGTCGCTATGAAATGCGAACTGGCATGCAGTTCCAACAGATGGCAGTCGTCGATTGTGCTATCTTATTACGATAGAGTTTTATATCCTGGATAGATGATAGTTGCTCAGCTTTCGTTCGTTGTCCAAGCTTACACTATGTTAAATAGTTGCCAAACAGCACGAAACAAGGGTAGGACGTCTGAGATCGGACTTGTTTGTTCAATGGCCGAACTGAGATACCGTTGCAACAGACAGTTTGCCGTCTTTACTCTCGCAGTGGTCGATTCTGGTAATAGATGACACTTTGTAATCAAATCTCAAATAGTGCTTAAGAAAACACCAAACGCTATGCCGATCTAGTTGAGGCCGCCACGTGTGTTAACAGCCAACAAAAATGTCCGTCCGGGCATAAAATTTCCCATTTCGGAGCGAGCTAATGTTTGCCCAGGGACAATATGAGATGAAAGAAATTTCCTTCAAATATTTACATGTAACTTACGGAAAGTCGGAAAAAAGAGTTCGAGAGTGAAAAGGCGGCGCCACACGTACGGATCGGATGTCAGTCTTGGGGTTCGGGGTCGAAATGGCCGGAATTTGTTAGGCTTAGGGGAAGCGGATAAGCCCTACCATCAGCATCTTTCTTATTCCTTATTTAGGGAAAGCATTCGTCGGCGCGACGGTTTTTTCCTCATTCTCTTTATTCATATACTCAAATGTCCAAGGTTTCTTTTTGAGCTGTGTCTCTCTAGCCTTATGCTCACAAATTCTATTCCATAGATACCGGAAAAGGATTTTTGGCACCTCGAAATCGCGTATATTTCAATTTTTTTTCAAATAGTATCTAGGGTGTACATGATAGACGAAACCAGATACGTTTAGGCGACCCAGCAGCAAGCTCGTCCAATCATATAGTGAAGCTGATGTAGCTGCTCTTGATGCTCTTATGCAAACTAGCATCATATAGCCTCTCAGATAAGCTTTACAGATGAGTGACTGGCTTCCCTGGGCCGTAAGATATACTAAGTGACATATAAATCCGAACACCCAGTTTAAATGGTTTTATTTTAATAAAATTTGGTGAATGTATTTATCTTACTGTAAATAACAAGTGAAAAAATTTTCAGCCTTATCAGTTGGACATTCCGGTTTTTATACTGCTTTTTTTTAATTCACTAACGCTCTAAAAATGAATATTTCAGCCGCAGTAAAGAATCAACGTTGGCGGATTTTGGTTCTTGACATCCTTTACGATCGGTTACGATGCCTAGAGTACGGAGACCTGTACGATTTCGTCAACTTAGTGAGTTTGATAGGGGCCGTATAGTGGGACTTCGGGAAGCTGGACTTTCTTTTCGGGCAATTGCAGTTAGAGTGCAAAGAAGTGTAGACACTGTGGTTAGGTGTTGTCAGGCATGGCTTCGAGAAGGCCGTACGCAAAGAGCAAGGGGCACTGGACGCCGCCGTAGAACAACAGACCGTGAAGATCGCCGCCTAAGACTATTGGCCTTAAGGGACCGTTTCTCCACTACCAGGTCCATTGCAAATGAATGGTTTGCAGAACACGGAAGACCTATTGGCATGCGAAGTGTTTACCGACGAATGAGAAGTTTTGGTTTGTTTTCATACCGGCCACACTGGGTCCTCCCTTTAACTCGAGAACACCGACGTAATTGCCTTGAGTAGTGCAGACAACGGTCACTCTGGGATCAGGAATGGAACAGTATTGTCTTTAGTAACGAGTCTGGATTTTGTTTAGGCATGCACTATGGTCGTGCCAGGGTTAGAAGGCGACGTGGTGAAAGGAGGAATCCACAGTTTTTTGTTGAAAGACATGTTCATCACACTGTTGGGGTTATGGTTTGGGGTGCTATAACTTATGGTTCCAGGTCACCTTTAATCTTCATCAGAGGTAACATGAGCGCGCAGCGTTATATCCACGAAGTTCCAGAACCCCATCTTTTACCCTATCTTAACATCCTGGCAGATCCAACTTTCCAACAAGATAATGCCCGACCACATGTTGCAAGAGTCACAATAGACTTCTTTCAACATAATGATAATAATAATAATAATTGAGCACGTGTGGGACATGATGGGTAGGAGATTGCTCAATTTGCAACGTCCTTCTCAGACTCTAGAAACACTTCGAGAGGAGTTGGTGGTTGCCTGAAATGAGATACCACAGGAGGACATTGTACCACCTGATCAGAAGCATGCCTAGGCGCGTTGGAGAATGCGTAGCACATCAGGGTGCATCCACACATTATTAAAGGTCAATGGGTTTTAAAGCAGTGCAATCATTTTGAAATTTTTATCATTTACTTATGATGCTTCATTAAGTAGTTATACAAAATTTTATTAAAATAAAACCATTTAAACTGGGTGTTCGGATTTATATGTCACTTAGTATATATGTCGCATTTGTCGGGATCTCCTATTCATCCTACAATGTCCTGTACGATCAATCCGATCCAAGGGCGAGGTAAGGCCTATCTTCAAAAGTATTGCTAACATGTTTCGGGTGCTGTTACCTCGACTACATTGTCCATGCTGGATGCTCTTCAGAGGAGAGCTGTCCGACTTTTCAGTGACACTACCCTAAGGAATGGTCAAAAGACATTTTCGCACTTCAGGCTGTCGGCGAACTGACTCTCTTCTGAAGGTATATAAACTAAATTTGCTACTCAGAGCTTTTTCCCATGATGCCGTCGCGCTATGATCCTGCACGACAGAGCCACCAGACTTGGCCTCCCATCGAACTTCGCACATTCCGATTTTGCCGTGAAACTGCCTGAGGAGGTTTTTCCCAGTTCTATTCGCCTTAGGAAGTTCAAAAATCAAATTAAAAAGGTGTCTCTAACCTTCTCATAGCAGCCGCGGTGCCCCGGTATTTAGACTTCTGTATAAAAAATGTAATTATAAGTAATGTTACATAATTTCAATCTCAGCTTTCTGGTGTGTTTATTAAATGAGCTATCTCCAGTTATGACGCTATATCTAATAACAGTCACACAACCATTGAGAATCCGTCTTTAATATGCTAAACCTGTTTGTCACAGAATATTGTTGATAACAAATATTTTTACAATATCTTAAAAAAGGGACTATGTGCAATATGAGATTATCTAAATCCCTTGAAATAAATCTTATGATGCAGATCTCAAATGGGAAACAAGGTAATAAATCAGGATTACATCATCTGAATGACTGTTACAAGGCGAAAGTATACAGATACAGTGTAGTAGGCGGATGAGTATCATTGATGACAAATATACAGGGTGTCCCAACCGTGCGAAGACGGCGTATTGCTCCTAAAGAAAAACTACTCAAACAATATTATCAATTGTATATGGAATCTGGAGGCCTATTTCTAAAATATTCACAATTATACAGGAGCCACATATCAAAGTTTATTTTTTTTAAATGGGACGCCCGATTAATCGCGAAAATTGAACCTAGATTTAAAATTGTTACACAATGTTGAGCTTCGTAGTTTTTAAAAATTGGTCCAGTGGCGGCAGAGAAAAAGGCCTAAAATGAATATGGTATCAGAGGTAGGTCGGTAAGGTTGCAAGGGGGTGGGAAGGGTTTATCTCAAATTCTTTAAGCGGATATATTTATATGCTACCAACATTGCTAATTATACGCACCTATTGGACATTTTCAAACTTAGAAAAATATTCTCGAAAGACCGGCTGCGTCTGAAGCTGGATTTGTGCGCAGACCGTGATGGTTCTCTTATGGAATCACACATCCTTCTGGCGCGACAGTTTTCTATGCTCTGGCTGGCCGAGTTAGGTATGGAGTTAGGGAGAGGCGACGTTTCCAGATACACTACCGGTAGGGCAGGGAAATAATGTCGATGGACTAATTGTATGAACCTGTTTGACTGACTTTTTTCTCAGAGGGTCTAGTTTTTGCTGAACATATTCCTTTATATACTGATAAGGGCGTTGCGTGGAAAGCGCAGAGTCAACCTTCTTGAACTTATATAACATACTTATGGATTTTGGTTATTAGTTGTTACATTAATCGGTATTTTACATAAAAAAACATCAGTCTGTATATCTGCTGTGTTGACAGGTGGAGTCGTGAGTCTTTGTGTAAAAAATTCTATACTTTATTCAATTTAGCCTAATTCACCCTTTCCTTTCTATTACCAGAATCAGCCACTGCGGGCGTCGATATAAGATACTTGCTCAGCTTTCGTTCGTTGTACTATCTGCGACCAAGCCTAGACTATGCAGATGAGTTGCCAAATAGCACGAAACAGCTGTCCATGGTTTCACGTCTGCGGTCGGAAGAACGAAAGCTATATTACTACCTTGTTCAATAATCTTTCACTAGTGATTCTATTTTCCTTAAGTCTGTGTCTATAGATTGTGTTATCAGATAATAACATATGCTATAAAATGGGTGAGCAATGGTATAAAATATCGGAATATCTTGAGCAGCTTTAGTAGGAGAAAGTATTCTCCGATATTAAAAAATGCTGCTCCAAGTACTTGTGGTGGCTTTGGGTGTCGTCACCGCAACTCATCGAGGTGAGAGTATGAATCAATTTATATGAACTCTTCTTGAACGTGTTGAGAAACTATTGAAAATGTTTGTGGAACTACATTTTCAGGAGCTATGATTTTTGTTCCCACCCTCCTCATTTACGAAAATTCCAAATTAATAATTTTTGTCGGCCTATTTGTTGGCATTATTGTGATTGCGGTAATTTCAGTAGCCAAATGAGCGATATATTGTAAGCTTATAGTACACTCAGAAAATAATTTATTAAACCAATTAAAATTCCAATTAGGTTAATTGAAAAATTTAATTAACTATTACTTGAATCTATGAAACTGGTTTGATTAAACCAAAACGCAATCGCTTTATTAAGTTTATTAAACCGTTTACTCAGGTTAATTATACCAATTTATTTAAAATTAATGAAGTATTGAAATGAGCTAAGCTGCCCTGAGTAAAATAGTTCAATTATATTCACTAAATTTGTTCAATTGGCTCAGGTAAAAATGTTTGCATAGTTTCAATGATATGTTTAATCAAGATTTAAAAGGAAATTTGGATATTATTTGGTATTTAAAAAACAAATTGCTTTTTGCTGAATGATGTAAATTATAACTGTGCTCTGAAAAATCTAAAAAAATTTGGAAAACTTTATATTTAGAGTTGATGTTTTCAAATAAAAATAAAATCTTCCTGATTTTATAACCCTAGTAAACTTTCTATTTTCATTGTTGGTGAATTTATTATATATTGGAACAACTTTTACCAACTATTCGTTTGTTTGTCCAGAAACAGGTTACATCACCATTCACTAGAAGCAATTCTCTGTTTTAAATTCAGAAAGTAGGGAAAGGGCTACCTGATACTGAATTTGGCCACCTGATCATGTGAATAAAAATTTTATTTCTAATATTTAAGCAATATTGCACTCACCCGCATTCAACGCATATATATATATATATATATATATATATATATATATATATATATATATATACAATAATGGACAAAAGTATATGAACAAATTAATATTGTGCTGTATTTCTTTTTTAACTTGTTTTATTAATACACAAACCTGTATACATAATTCGTTATAGCATAATACTTATACATAAATAAATTCATTAGACTCCATAAAATAAAAAATTGAAAAAAACTGGAACTATGAAGGACAAAAATATATAGACAAAGCAAAACAATTATAGAAAAAAGAAGCAAAGTTCATTGAATTATAGAAAACCAACCATGTCTGTGTTAATATTTCGTAGCATAACCATTATTATAATTATTATTATTATCAATCACCACCTGGCATCGTCTCGGCATAGATTGTAGAAGTTTCTTGATATAAGATTCATCAATCTGTCTCCACTTTTGCTCTAAAGCGGCAAAAAGTTTATCCTTGTTTGAATAATTTTTCTCTCGTATTTGCTTATCTCAGTATTCCCATAGATTTTCAATGGGGTTTATATCGGATGACTGTGAAGGTCATTTGAGAACTGGTATTTATCATCCAGAAAAAATTTCTTTGCAAGATTTGAAGTGTTCTTCGGGTCATTATCTTGCTGGAAGATTGATCTTAAGGGCATATTGTCTCCCATATAGGGTAACATGACATGCTTTAAGTATGTCTGTGAAAATATGAATATATGAATACAAACTTATCCATGATGCCATCTATTCTATGTAAAGGTCCCATCCCAGATCCCGAAAAGCACCCCCAAACCATAACAGACCCGCCTTCATGTTTGACAGTGGGCAAAGTGTATTTGGGGTTCAATCTTTGTCCACTAGGACGTCTAACGTAATGAACACCATCTGATCCAATCATATTGAACTTGGATTCGTCACTGAAACATACCCTCTTCCAGTCACAGATGCTCCAATCAAGATGCAACCATGCAAATTGTAATCGGTCCTTACGGTTTTTCCTCGAGATTAGCGGCTTCTTACTCGGGCGACGTGCAAATAACTTCAAAACTTGTCTTAGAGGCTCCCAAGATACATTTTTGTTGTTTATATTAACAGTTAAGGCAATTAACTGTTAGGAGAAGATATCCTTTAATTTCCTTGGGTAGTAAGTATTGCAAAACTACACTCTTATAACGTAAATTCTCAAGCTTTCGAAGAATCTTATCATCATCGTCTGGAGTAAGGCGGCGAGATTGTTGCTGAAATTGTTTTTTAAATAACACTGAAGGGAAAAACATAGTCGACGAATAAGAAACTGGACCGATGAGGTTCGATTAGGACGGAATTATTTTATTATTAAATGGCAAATGATTTTGAAAGGTTTTATTTAAAATTAGGCGTTGATTGATTATGGAAGAAATTTGGAGATTTTAAAACTATCAACTACTGAAAATTCCCCCTAGATTTCATCTTTTTTTCCACTGATAACCTCCACATTATCCAATACGTGCCGGCCGACTGAGTAGGTAATTCGTTTTACACTACTGTGAAGGAGATTAGTTTTGGAAAAGGAAATGCAATATTCAAAGTAATGAAATAGTTATTTTGGCAATGGGCATTTTTTTATTCAATGTTGTACTTGAAGCAAAACAAAAATCCAAACATATCTAAATCAAGCGACTTCTGCACCAGACACCTCATGTCGAATACAATTAAGCTGGATCGGCCGTGGGCCGTGAAATGGATATTCCAAAGTTATTTTACGGGATAGAAAGTAGCATATGTAGCAGTCTAGGCAACAATCTATCTCTGTATCAAATTTCATCCAGATCCGTTCAGCCATTTCGGCATAATTTAGTAACAAACATTCACACCTTTTACTATTACTATCTTTCTAGAACTAATGTATTTATGAAGAGGTTATTAACGATAAATGAATTTTAAAATATTCTCACATTTTTCAAACTTTTTCCAGCTCCTTCATTTTTAAAAAGGTTTGTCTGGGAAGTACCAGGCCATTTTATTTAACTTTATTTTATGTATGAAAATTATGAGATAATTTCTTACAGATGAGTGTCGTGGAATGTTACCTGCTCCAACAGAAAATTGCAACGAGTACATTTTGCACCACAATGGCAAACCCTTCGTCAACGAGTGTCCGGAAGGACTTCTTTTTGACAAGAACAGGTTGATTTGCGATTTGCCTGAAAATACGGAGTGTTTGAAGCCTAACGAATGCATCAAACATGGAATTGGTAATGTTTCATAGCTCCTGAAAAAGGATAATTCTTAGAAGATCGGCACATTACATGTGGACGTCAAAAAATACAGGGTGTCCGCAAAGTTGGGGTTTTCCTTTACACGACGTGTAGATCTTGAAAACATAAGCAATTTTTCTTAGTACCATATATACCAATGTCTTAAGGGAACCGAGATAAAGGGCTCTCCAACATCAAAAATATCTGAATACCGTCCTGTAGCCGCGACCCGCGACATCCCCGAGTGGTACTAGGACACTAGCTCAACCCGACGACAGAACTGGGTCGGAGTCAGTGTGTCAGGTCAGTATGCAACCTTCAACCGACGACGGTTACGGTCACGCGTGTAGAGGTAAACGAACCCGTATAATCGATTGCGTTTCAAAAAACAACAAGCACTAGAGACGTGGCTAGAGAAGTGCAAGTATCAAAAACTAAAGTGTGGCAAACGCTGCGTGAAGAGGGGCTGTATCCGTTTCACGTCCAACGTGTACAAGCCCTTCAACCTGACGATTTTCCAGCAAGAGTGCGGTTTTGTGAGTGGTTGTTGTATCAACATGACAAAAATCCGGACTTTTTGAAGTGCATATTGGTGACTGACGAATCTATATATAATAACTTTCGCAACACTCATGTTTGGTCAGTAGAAAATCCGCACGCTGTCCGTCGGGCACATTTTCAACAAACATTTTCGGTGAATGTTTGGGCTGGCATGGTGGACGGTATGCTCATTGGACCATTTATTCTCCCAAATCGATTGGACGGGATGCAATACCTAGACTTTTTACGCAACATTTTGCCTTCCTTGTTAGAAGATGTGCCATTAAGTGTAAGATAATCAATGTGGTTTCTGCACGATGGTGCACCGCCCCATTTTAGATGCGAAGTGCGTGAGTTTTTGAATGAATTATTCCCGAATAGGTGAATCGGACGTAATGGATCCGTAGCGTGGCCTGGCGATCTCCAGACTTAACAACATGTGATTTTTTTCTTTGGGGATGAATGAAACGCTTAGTGTACAAAACTGAAGTGCATACGGTTGACGAACTTCGTCTCAGAATTGAACAAGCTGGTGCTTTCATTCGGGGGAGGAACTCCATTCTCAAAGCCTGTATCGATCCTTGGCTACGTCGTGCACGCACCTGTGTTTTTGAATCAAACGGCGATAACTTGGAACAATACCTATAAAATACGTTTACCTAAAAACTGAAAACGCGGCAACGCCGTCATATTTGTTACCTCTGTTCGTGGTCTGAACCACCGCCGGCGTTTGCTCGGTAGCGCATCAGCTGATTTCATTTTCTGTTGGAGCGGTATGATTTCGGGCAGAGACGTACTTAGCCCTTCTCGTCAACTAGAGAGTGAGTACTTTTTCCTTTATTTTTTTTTACTTGGCCGCCCTCGTTTCACTACACATTACCTTTGTTATTTCAAGGGTATTTGTTTCTGAAAAGGAAAACCCCAACTTTGCGGACACCCTGTTTATATGAAATCACTATCACTATTGATCCACGTTCTGTCTAAATGACGCTTGTTACAAATCATATTGAAACCGCTAGCCACTTATGGACCGTCGGGAAATATTTTTGTTGGAATATTTTACTATTAACTAAGGCAACTATAGCCCGTCATAAACATATTGCGGCATGTCTAGCTATAGGTCGGCTGTATCTTTGCAATATTTTCCGCACACCTACACTTTTCTTACATTACATCAAGTAGTTTGGCAATCTGACAGCAACATATGGAAATTAGTCGGAAATGTCAAACATAAGTATTACCGTATGCTGCTTGCTACTCTATTGCAGCTAAATAATGCAGTAAAAATATTGTCTGTTCAGATGCTGAAAAATTTGATCGAAACGTCAGTTTCTTGTTATCTTCCTGATTCATACCGATAAGTACTATCACAGACGATGATTCTATTCTTCAATCGTTCTGGATTCGATAACAACCCTTTACTTCCTATGTCGCTTTGAGGAAGTAATCGAAAATGAGATATGTTTTTGGACGTTGTATGATATTTAGACCATGAAAAATCATGTCACTCATTTCCGCCAATCTGTCGGTCTGTCTTATCTGTCTGTCGGTCTGTCCGGTAATCCTTGAGCTGTCTATAAACTGGAAGTACTGCTCGGGGTACTATGTGAAAAACCTAAAAAGTGTAAAAAACCGACGAAATTTCATAGTGCAAACTAGGTAGTTTTCAGTGTGCAAATAGTTAATATCTTTTAAAAAATGATATGACACAAAAAATCTACGAAATGTCAATTTTCAAGATAGGTATACCCGTGCTGATTATGATGCAATTTTCACTCAAGGTTACTACTAGGATAAGGACGAAAAAACATTGTAGCTTTTGAAAATCGGTAAAGTAGCGGCAGAGAAAAGGTCAAAAAACGAAAAAATAATAATCGCTCCAATTTCGTTAATTGACGTTTCAGAGAATCCTGATCATTTTCAGAGAAAAATTTGCAGTGGTAAAAATTTAATGTGGGTTGTGGGGGTTGGGGAGAGAGTATATCACTTTTTTTTGGTGCATTTACAACATCGCTAATTCTTCGTAGCTATTCGTATATTTCACACATCTTAGATTTCCCCGTATATTTATTCTTAAAACTTGAATGATACAGATATGTTTTTTCTATACGCGATTAACTGAATGATGATGCGTGCATTTAGGTGTGCAACCCCGTGCTAGGTTGTCACGTTGCTAGGAGGCCGGTACTGTCATTAGGATGGTAGCGTAGATCGCAATATTGCAACATCTGTTGGGACTATAGAATAATTGTATGAGCCTGTTTGGCTGACGTGACTGTTATACATGTTTGTAGCCAGCTTTTTTCTAACACTTACTTGACGCCATATTATTCACGTTGGTACCAAGAGATATCAATTGAGTTACGAACCTGGGGAAAACTTATCATATCGCTTTGGTTGCTATTATACAAATACAGGGTGATTCATAAGTCGTGACCTAAAATGAAACATGATACACAGGACCGCATTTTAGAGGGGTCTTCTATGTAACATTTTTTCCTCGAGGGCTTCATTAAAAATATGAAGTTTGAAATTCAAAACAATTTTTTTAATATGTCAAAACCGTCAACTGGAATGAAGTCAAATTTGGTATGTGGATTTCACACATTCAAAAGTCTTTACTCAAAATTAAGATGCACCAGTAGCGGAGATACAGGGGATTAGCGGCATTATTTTCCCAAATAAAAAAAGTACGCCTCTGTTTTTTTTTGAAACGCGCAATTATTCGGAATTTTACCTTCAATTTGCTACAAATAATTTCTCTTGTGACTTTTTGCTAGAATGAATTGTTTTCGTAAAAATAAAAAAAGAAAATTAGATAATCAAAGCTTTATTTAAATAAATATTCCACCATTCTAACGGATACAAGTGCGGCATCTTTTTCATAAAGAAAAACGTATTTCCGCAAACTTTGTTGTGACTTGAATTTGATGAAATGCGTCTTTCTTTCTTGTAACTGATCAACAGTATTAATTTTTTCAGCATACACTAGTTGTTTAAAAACGCCCCAAGAAAAGAAATCCAGGGGGTTCAAATCAGGAGACCTCGCAGACCAATGTACGGGTCCGTTTCAGTCAATTCTTCGTTGTCTAAAATAATATTTAATCATGCGGTTATGTCATGACGACCATGCGGTGGGGCACCGTCGTGCTGATATCACATTCGTACTCTCGTTGCTAACGGAACATCATCTAACACATTTTCTATGTAATTCTCTAGAAAAGTTAAGAATGAGTTTGTCAATACGTGCATAAACAGTTGGCTACTGAAAATGCCGCACCACACATTTCAAGAAAATCTGGGTTGGAACGAGTGGATTCTTAGAGAACGCGGATTTTCTAACGACCAAATATATATGTTCATTAAGGGAATTAATGGTTCCACTTTTCGTAAAAAGCGATTGATCTGACCACGAAACCAAATCAATAAAATCTGCATTTAGATTATGCATTTGCAGTAGCCACTCACAAAAATTTCAGACATTGCACATTGTGCCGTTGGTAAGGATGTAAAACTTCCCGATTCAAAATTCTCCATGCAAGTCTTTGGGAAAATGGTAACTGGGCTGCAATTCGCCTAGTACTTGTACTAGGATCATCCAACGCCAAATTAATCAGTTCCAGTTCCTCTTAAATAGTAAGCCGCACACCGGATAGTTTGGCAATTCCATATTGTCGATGTCTGAGAAATGAACTCGTACACAAAAATAATGTCGGCGTACTCATCATTGCTAAATTCCATTTTATAACACTCAAAAATGGAAAAATTAACTTTTGACTTGACTTTCACAAAAAAAAATGCTAGTAGTAACGATAACAACTGTAAGGTGGTGGTGCACATTAATTGTGAGTAACGACTTTTGAATGTGGGCAATACTTAGGCAAATCCACATATCAAATTTTAGTTGATTCCAGTTGACGGTGTTGAAGATATTCAAAAAATTGTTTTGTATTTTCAAACTTCAACACCCCGTATCTTTTTAAAGAAGCCATTGAGAAAAAAACGTTACATAGAAGACCTCCACTTAAAATGTGTATGATGTTTCATCTTTGGTTACGACTTGTGAACCACCCTGTATATTAGCCAGGGTGTGACACACACAAACGTATACTCACACACGCACACACACACACACACACACACACAGATGGAGAAAAAGAGAAATGCAGGGATAATGAGTAGTCAATCTCCATGAATATTTCTATTTGCTATGCATTTTCATTTATAAATGCTAATAATAATGTATTCCAGTGCTTCTGAAAAAGCAAATACGCAATCAGTGAATAGATAATAATAATAATAAATAAATATGGTTGGAAGTACGTAGCTGAAAATAGGCCTTGTGCTAATTATGCAATTATAAATAGTAATTACATGTATAAAGGATAGCGTCAAGTAGGTTGATTCTGCACTTCCCACGCAACGCCGTTATTTCATAAAAGATTATATTCAGCACAAACTAGACACTTTGAGAAAAAATACAATCAAATAGGTCCTTACAATCAATCCATAGACATTCCTTTCCTGCCCTACCGGTGGAGCATCTGGAAACATCGCCTCTCCCCGACACTTAACTCGGATAGACGTGGCAGCGCAGTTAGAGCATAGGAAACACTATGATGTGGCGCGACAGAAATGCGTGTAATACCATACCAGAACAACAGATGACTCAACAACCGCCGGTAGGTACGCGATCCGTTTGCTGAGAATATTTTTAAATGCTAATGTACGGAGAAGCTACTAAGGTTGTGAGCGTATAAGTGTGCGAACATAAAGCAATTGGGATAAGCCGTCTCCGCCCCCTACAATCCCACCCTCAAGCGTTTTACCTCTTAAATTTGTTTCAAAACACGTCAACAAACTATGTTTGTGCGCTTTTTTATTCTTTTTCGTTTTTGGCCATTTTCTATGCCACTACTGGACCTACTACAGTCGCAAAAAGTTATAAAGCTTTTCATCCTTGGTATAGCAGCAACAGTGTGTAAACATTTTATCGAAATCCGAAAAGTACTTCTCAAGTTATAGCCGGCTCTAAGATTAGCGGACAGGTCGACGAAAAGGAGTGACATGCTTTTTCGTGATATCCAAAATGCATGTCATTTCTGAAAATTTTACATAAATTAAATTACTTCCCTGCCAGTAGGGAAGTAGGCGTGGGAACTGAGAGCAATACTAGAGCATAGAAACGTATTCTTTCACATTTTGGAGGAAGCAATATTTTTGAATTACCCCATTCTTAGCTATTTTGAGGCGTTCCTTGGCATACTCCTAATTTATTGTTTTTTTGGCGGAAACGACAGTAATTTGAAAAAAATCCAAGTTCAAAAAGTGTTTGCATTTGTGCTGGTTTACTTTCTGTTATCTGATCCAAATAAAGGAAACTTTGTACTTCTCAAACGTTGTACAACAAAAGCCAATTATCGTTTTGATCATAAAATGCTTGTTGGTTTGGAGCATTTTCTATCAACAAAAAAATCTTGAGCTAACAATTAAGTATTCGTAGAAATAGAATTGCGACAAACTTTGAAATGTTAAAAATGGTAGTAATTATACCTAGTGATAGTAATCGTTGATTGAGCCATGCTGAGTCATAAAAATACTTATGACCTGAGTTTGATTTTTCTATTTGTATGCATTATTGTTGACTTAAAACAGTTTATTCAATTACTCTCAGTAGAAGACCGTTAACGGAAATCAGTAAGAAATACCGGAGTAATCAATATCAATTTTTGTTTTGTTTTAGAGTGTAAAAGTGACAGTGGTCACCCAGTCTTCCGACCACACCCCAATTGCACTCAATTTTGCGAGTGTTCTAACGGAATTCCATACGTGCGTAATTGCCCTAGCAACCTTCACTGGAATCCAACTTTGAACGCATGTGACTGGCCTGAACATGCTGGGTGTGCTGCTGCCAGACAGAACACCACAAGAACAACTGCAAGCGCTTACACCACTTCTCATCAAAACGTGACTACTTCCAGTCAAAACACCACTACTTCTGCTCCGAGAACCACTAGCCAAAATGCTACAAGAATCACTACTTCTCATCCTCATACCACTAGTCAGAATACCACAAGAACCACTATACCTGCGTCCTCTACAACTAGGCAACAAAGTCCAAGAACTACTTCTTCTCCCAATACTACTAGTCACGTCACGAGAAGAAGTAGTGAAGCTTCTGAAACGACCACACCAAGTGAGGACCAAATTGGAACCGAGATATGTCTAAAAGAAGGTGTTGGTAAGTGTGTTGAAATATTTTTACTGTGTAAGTGTATATATATATATAACTCAAATATCTTTCTTCAACGAAAACGTTTTTAAAAAGATTTATTTTTGAGAAAGACCAAATACAATGATGTTAATTGAATGAGTTCTGAATCGAGACTGACTGCAAAGTTCATTATACAAACCAAAGTAAAGAACAAATGAAATACAATACTGTAACTGATAAGAAAGGAACGTGGAGGCAAAAGTCCTTGTTCAGCATATTCTTCTCTGTAGACTGGTACATAACTCCTCCACCCCTAGAATGAAGCTTCCCCTGGAAGGTGAATTTCTTTCTTCTTATATCTTGAACTGGAATCTTCTCTTCTAGTGCGTTTTGTGGGACTTGGACCTTCTTCTTTCATCTCGGCTAATTCAATGTCGATTTCTAACTTGGATGCTTTCTTGTTTCTCCATCTTCTATATAAAATTATGCAGCAGATGCTTGAAAATACGAGATATAGTAATATGGTCCAAATACTGGGTTTTCCAAAATTTTCTATGGAATTTTCTTCTAAAATTGGTAACATTCGATTAACTTGTAATTCTGGTAAATTTAACGTTTTCAGAGTAATTTGTGTCTCTGGGATATTTTGTTTCATAAAATGGAAATCCATTTTGTCAGCTACGAGGGGCTTTCCATAGGTTTTGTCTTGAAAGATAATTTCATTGTCTTGGAATGATATTTGGCATTCACTGGCTTTGACTAAGAAAATGCCAAGTAATGACTTTGTATCGATTTGCTCCTTGCATTTAATTTTCAATTTTTCTTCGGTGAGAAATACAGCTAAATACTGGTTAATTTCGGGAATAAATTCAATGTGATTTTCTTCAATCTGAAGCTTCGTGTATCTACATGGTTCTGTATGATCTTCAGTAATTATTGACTTCTCGCATTGGGCTTTGTGATTGGCTAATATACGATTAGGGCATTGATAGATTCTACCTTGGGTACAAATCTCGTGCAGGGGTTTGATTTCATTTCGATCAGATTTTAGCAAATACTTATAATTTGGGATAATAGTGACGAATTCTGATTTGTGCATCAGAGTCGGTATAGGTAACATATAATAAAGATCAAAATGTTCTGGATAATCTATAGGAATAGATAGAAAATAACTTATTTGATTCTGATCGATTTTACAACTGATAGAAATAATAGATTCATAATCTAGCATATTTTCATCCTTTACTTCAAATGGTAATTCATTTTTATAAAATGTGGATATCTTACGGAGTTCTTGAAATAATTCTCTAGTCCTTATTATACTGGGATGCATGGTTTTCAATTTGCAAAAAGTTATCGAATTTTCGATATCTTGTAAAATATTCAATATGGCATTATAAAGGATAATTAATTGATTGATAATGTCCTTCGCTGAAAGAATATCCTGGTTTGTTGTCTGGTTCAATAAAATATTTTTCAATTGTAAAATGTTATTTCTTAATGTCATCTCATTGTGCTGTATATCTTGAATAGTCCCGTTAAATTTTGCGACAAGTTCATTGTTTACTGAATATTGCATTCTCAGCTGATTTTGAATATGATGCTGATTTTCTTGTAAATGAGATAAAATTTTATCAATACGTTCTCCATCGTCGGAGTCTAAATTTCCTGTTATTGTTTTTACTACATAGCCTATGCCATTAAAAAGTCCTCTCTTATTGCGAGTCTTTTGAGAATGAGATTTAATGTATTCGGTTTTCTCTTGAATCAAGCTCCTTATATAAGATACTATCTTACTATAATTTTCTAGCTCGTTATTAATCTTAGAATGGTTTCTGTAACTATAGTTAAGATTACTGTATTGAATATTCAAATCTTCATATTCCTTATATAAAGGTGATAGATCATAATAGTGCACAAAAGTATGTTTTGTCTTTTGTAGCCTAGCTGTGCCTAAATTTACTGGCAAAATTCCTAAATTGTTCGTTATGTTTCTTATTTCTGTTCCGCATCCGAAATAGATGAGGTATCTGAAATATTAGTAAATTTAAATTGATAAGTTTTCTTCCTGGGCCTTTTAATATTGGATAAATGGATATTTTTGGAAGTATTGGCATGTGTGGGATCTATCTCCGCTCTTTTTAATTTCTTATCTATACTAATTAATTTTTCTTGCTTACACTTATTTTTAGTTTTCTGTTGCTTCTGCTTATTCTTAACATATACCTTGTTAGGAATATCAGGCAAAACTTCACGTTTCTCATTTGCTTTATTTATAACTTTTTCTTTATTCTGTAATATCTTTTCATTTAAATTCCTATATACTATTTTCATTTTTTCCTTATGATTCTGTAAATAATTATTTAATAATTGCTTATCTATGTCTATATTAAAAGGTGATTCTGTATTGAAATGACCAGTAATCACTTCATAGGGTTTAAGATTGGTTACAGAATGTATTGTGTTATTATAAGCTAAAATAGCGTAATTTACCTTAGTTTCTATAGGTTCGTTCTTGTACTCTACCTGATTATTCAATAATCTTAAATGTTCTATGAGCGTTGAGTGGAAACGTTCTACGGTTCCGTTAGATTCTGGGTGCTGTGAACTAATAAAATGTATTTTGACTTTATGCAATTCTAAAAGTTCTTTGACTACTGAATTTTTTAATTCTGTGCCATTGTCGAAAATCATTTGATCTGGTATACAGTGATGTGTAAAATATCTTATAAATTTATTTGTTACCTCTACTCCATTGGCAGAGTTCAACATGTAAGCCTGACCGTACTTTGAAAATGAATCGGTCATAGTCAAAAATTTTGCATTTTCTAAAGAAATAGTGTCTACGTATAAAATTTGAAATGGTTTCGTAGGCGTTGGCGTAATATTATATTCAAGTTTTAACGGGTGTCTGTCGTATTTTGTTAACTGACAGATTTCACACTCATTAATATAAGTCTGTATCGAGTTTCTTAAATTCGGCCAATAATATATTTGTTTTATTCTTTTATCAGTTTCATCGATTCCTCGATGATTGGTTTTACCTTCGTGATAATTCTTGATTATATCCTTAATCTCATTTTGATCTGTAACGTCTATCAATTTCTTTGTGCATTTTACTAGATTTATTTGGGAATTTTTGAAATATGTTTGAAGAACTACGCTGAACTTTTCATAGACTGGGTCTTCAAAATATAAACAATATTTTACCTTTGGTGCAATAAATTCTTTTACAAATTTAATTGTATCTGCTTCAAAATTGTTCTTTGATAATTGAACGGATATTCGCTGTTTATTCACATGTAATCTACTAATTACTGGATCAGCTGGTTCGAGGTTTACTTCGGAAATAATAATTTGATTTTTTGCACAATTTACTGCTGTATCACTAATTGGAATATTTATCGTAGGATTTTCTATATTAGAATGAACGGTGTGTCCTGATGAATCATTTTCATTTTCATCAATTTTATCTAAATCATTGGGTTGAGGTGCGATCGAATAGTTATCGGTCTGATTGGGAATATTGGAAATATTCGATGGACCTGCTTGATTTTCAAGATTTCTATTAAATTCTTTCATGTATTGTGCCAGTGGAGTCGGTGCTCCTGTTTCATTAACATTTACTTCTATTCTAGATAAAAAGTCCGCATTTGTATTTGATTTGCCTTTCCTGTAAACAATGTCAAAATCATGTTCTTCTAATCTTAAGCGCCATCTTAGTAATTTTGAACTAGCATCTCTAACTGAAAATAACCATTGGAGGCTTTTGTGATCTGTTACAATAGTAAACTTACGTCCGAAAATATAAGGTCTGAAATATTTTACTGCATATACGATACTTAGAAGTTCTTTTTCTGTCGTGCTATACTTTGTTTCTGAATCACTTAATGTTCGTGAGGCGTACGCTATTGGTAAATCTGAGCCTAATTTACCTTGGGATAATATTGCGCCGATTGCATAATTACTTGCATCCGTAGTTATCAAAAATGGTTTGGAAAAATCCGGATATTGGAGTATCGGATCGTTTGTCAATAAAGTCTTGAATAATTCGAAACATTTAATATAATCTGCGTCATTGGGATTAATAATTGCATCTTTTTTCAATCTGATTGTCAATGGCTTAGTGATTTTCGCAAAATCTTTTATAAACTTACGGTAATAACCTAAAAGTCCAAGGAAGCCTTTAATTTGCTTCTTAGTTTTTGGTATTTTAAATTCTGTGATTGCCTTTATCTTATCGGGGTTTGGTTTCACACCATCCGCCGTTACAATATGACCTAAATACGATACTTCTTTTCTAAGAAATTCCGATTTGTCTAACTGTATTTTAAAATTTGACTGACGTAACCTTTCAAAAACTTCTCTAAGTCGAGAAATATGTTCCTGTAAACTAGTACTGAATATTATAATGTCATCTAAATATACTAAGCATGTTTCATTTTGAATACCTCTCAGTATGTTATCCATTACTCGCTGGAAAGTCGCTGGCGCGTTTTTTAGTCCAAATGGCATTCTTGTGAACTCGTAGTGTCCATTTTCTGTATTAAATGCAGTTTTTTGAATATCATCTTCTGCCATTTCTATTTGGTGAAAACCTGAAGCTAAGTCTAATGTTGAAAAATATTGGCATCGCCCTAATTTATCTAACAAATCTGTTATGTTTGGAAGAGGATAACGATCTCCCAATGTTTTTTCATTCAATTTTCTATAATCAATGACTATTCTCCATTTTTGCTTTCCCGATGCGTCTAATTTTTTTGGAACAATCCATATAGGTGAGCACCACGCTGAATGGCTCTCTCTAATAATTTTTTGATCAAGCATTGATTGTATTTGTCTTTGTACCTCTTTTCGGTGGATTTCAGGATATCTGTATGATTTCGTGTAAATGGGTATTTCATCGCTTGTACGTATATGATGCTTAATTTTGCTCGTAAAAGTTAAGTAATTACCATCTATGTGAAATATGTCTGAATACTCTCTTACTAACTTGGTGATTGCGTCTTTTTCTTCAGAGTTCATAT